TAAACAAACAAAAAAAAAAAAAAAAAAAAGGAAAGAAAACACTCAATTCCATGTAATTAGGAAGGAAAAAGCTGAAATCTCAACAGATCCTACAGAAATCCAGATCATCCATACCTACTTTGAGAACCTGTCTTTTAATAAGATGGAAAACACAGAAGAAATGAACAGATTCCTAAACCAAAGCTGAATCAAGAAGATATAAAAATTCTAAATAACCCAGTAACAGTCAATAAAATTGAAGATGTAATTAAAAATTACTAACAAAGAAAACCCCAGGTCCTGATGGATTCACTGCTGAATTTTACAAGAAATTTAGAGAAGACCTAATGCCATTTCTCCTTAAACACTTTAATGAAATTGAAAGGGAAGCAATATTCTCAAACTCACTTCCTGGAAGCAAGTATTACCCTGATACCAAAACTAGAGAAGGATCCAAAGGAAGAAAGAACTACAGGCTGATCTCCCTAATAAGCATAGACACAAAAATCTCAATAAGATACTGGCAAATAGAATGTAGCAAATCATCAAAAGATTATACCCCATGATCAAGTAGGATTCATCCCAGGGATGCAGGGATGGTTCAACCTACACAAATTAATAAATATAATATGATATATCAATAGAGACAAGGACAAAAGTTACATGATCATCTCAACAGACCCAGGAAAAGCATTTGACAAAGTCCAACACCCATTCATGCTTTAAAGAAAAAAAAAATGCTATAGAAAACACTCAAATCCACGCAATTAGGAAGGAAAAGGCTGAAAGTATTAGATGGGCTTTATTTCAATCTGTCAAAAGGCATCTATGACAAACCAACAACTGGCATCATACTAAATAGTCAAAAGCTAAAAGCTTTTATTCTAAAATCAGGAAGACAAGGATGTCTGCTATTACCACACCTATTCAATAAAGTTCTAGAAACATTAGTCAGCCCAATTGGACAAGAGAAAGAAATGAAAATAAAAATAGGAAAGGAAGAGATGGTATGTGGGGATAACATGTATACAGAAGATACCAACTTCAGTTGCATAGCTACACACAAAGTCATCACTCAAAAATCAGAAACATTCCTGTACACAAATAACAGACTTAGTGAGAAATTAGAAAAACCATGCCTTTCACAATAGCACTAAAAAAATGAAATACTTAGAAATCAGTGTTAACAGAAGAAGTAACACTGAAAGCTTCAGTACTCTGAAAAAGAAGACCGAAGAGGGTATCAGAAAATGGGAAGATATCCCTTGCTCATAGGTGAAAGAACCAACACAGCAAAAGAGGGATATCACAATCCCTTACTCAAAATTATACTACAGAGCTACTGTGACAAATACAGCATGGTACTGGTAAAAAACCAGACCTGAGGAATGAAACATATTAGAAGATGCAGAAACACACTCAGCCACCTATCTTTGACAAAGGGGCCAAAAGCCTTCACTGGAAGAAAGATAGCCCCATTAATAAATGGTGCTGGAAAAACTAGCTTTCCACATACCAAAGATTAAAACTAGTCCCTCATCTCTCACTATGCACTAAAGTAAAAATGCAATGAATCAAAGATCTAAATATTAAAACAGAAGCACTAGGGCTGGGGATTTAGCTCAGCAGTTCGGTGGCCTGCCTTGCAAGCGCAAGGACCCGAGTTCAATCCCTGTACCAAACAACAACAACAACAACAAAAAAACCCAAAACAGAAACACTACATCTGCTGGAAGAGAGAATAGTTAGAACTCTTGAAGACAGAGGTATACACAAATTTTATAAACAAAATTCCAATCACATGGGAAATATTACAAAGAATCAACAGCTGGGATCTCATCTTATTTAAAAGCTTTTTGCATTGCAAAAGAAATCATCAAGAGTGAAGAGACAAAATTTTTTGCCAGTTCTTTCTTTCTCAGAAAAAGACTAGTATCCATAAAGAACTAAAAAAAAAATAAAAACAAAAACAAAAAGCCAATTTAAAGACCCAATTCAAAAACAAGCATCTGAAATGAATACAAACTTCTCAGATAAAGTAGAAACAGCAAATAAATATTTTAAAAAGTGTTCAACATTACTGATCATTCGAAAGATGTGAATTAAAACAAAGCTGAGATTCCATCTCACTCTAGAAAGAATGGCTTATTATCGAGAAATCAACCAGTAACAAATGCTGGCAGGTCTATGGGGGAAAAGGAACCCTTCTCTGCTGTTGGTGGGAGGGTAGACTGGTGGAACCACTGTGGAAATCAGTGTGCAAATTCCTAAAAAATTTAAAACTACAGTCTCCATTTGACCCAGCTATGCCTCCTCTTTGTATCTTCACCAAAAAATTAAAAGCATCATACCAAATAGATATATGCACACCCATGTTTACAGTGGCACTGTTTGTAATAACTAAATCTTGGAAACAGCCCAAATGCCCATCAACTAATGAGTGGGTAAAGATGTTGTTATTTTTAAAAACAATGGAGTACTTCTGAGCCACAAAGAAGGACAAACTTGAGACATTTCAAATGGATACACCTTGTCACCATACTCCTAAGTGAAATAAATGAGACACGTGTGTAAATATAGCATTTTCTCTGGTACAAGAAACTGAAGGTACAAATGAAGACCAAAATGTGTAACAGATATTGTGAAATAGGAAGAAAATGTTTAAATGGAAAGGGGCACTAAGGAGGGGGGAGAGTAAAAGGAAAGAAGGGAAAAAGAAAGAAAGATGGAAACAAAGCTTTTTGTGAACAAGGAAGAGAGGGGTAGAAAGGAGAGGAGGGAAATGGGAAAAAAATACGAATCAAGATATATCATGTACAGGTACAGAATCTCTATGACAAACGTGATCATTTTGTATATCTAAAATGTACCAAGAAACTTAAACAATTACAAAAAGAATTTAGCTCAGGGGCACTGTACCTGTCTCACAAGTGCAAGATCCTAAATTCAACAGAAAGAAAAAGAAAAGAAAGAAAGTGGGTAGGGGAGGGAAGGGAGGAAAGGAAGGGAATTAGGGAAGGAAAAGGATGGAGGAAGGGAGAGAGAGAGACAAGGGAGGAAGGAAAGGAGGGAGCGAGGGAGGGAGGGTAGGAAAGCAGGCAGGCAGCAAGAAGTGGCAATATTATTAAAATAGGCCTGACTCCCATAGATCATTTAATATCTAAATGCAAACACTATGGAAAAATGAGTATTTAATAAAATAAATACAGTAGACACTCAAAAGAATTTGTTTCCTATCCTCCTTATCTTTTTGTCATGTTATAATCCCCAAGATTATAAATTATTTAGAATTATCTGGTTGGGCCAGGGATTTAGCTCAGTGGTTCTGGCGCCTGCTTCACAAGCTCAAAGGCCTGAGTTCGAGCCCCGGTACCAAAAAAAAAAAAAAAAAGAGGGGTAGAAATATCTGGATTGATTTTTCTTTACAGGAAGAACTAAAAACAAATTAAATCAAAAATTTTAAAAAAATTTACCTGGAAATGGATGCCTGGAAACTAATTCTTCCGGAAGTCCAAGTTCTCTGCCTAAAATTCTCACTTCATCTTTATGAAAATCTTTCAGTGGTTCTATTACTTTTCCCTACAAAGAAAAAGAAAAGTCAATCAATACAAATTAGTAATAAAAACGGCATGGAAAAGGATAATAAGTAATTGGCCCTTCTACTGTCTTATTACTTAGCTTAAAAAATTGTCTTTAAAAATGCATTCCCAGTCAGGCATGGCAGTGCAATTCCTGTAATCCCAGCACTCAGGAGCCTGAGGAAGGAGGATTGCTGCAAGTTTGAAACGCCAGTCCGAACGCCATAGTGAGTTCAAGACCAGCCTGAACTACATGGCAAGACCCTGTTCCAAAAAAATTAAAACATCAACAAAAAACTCCTATGTGCCATGTGCTTGTAAGAAATGAAATCAAGCATTTCAGTAGTATCACATTTTTCTTTGAAATATATTTTAAACAAAACCTTTCAAACAAAAATATATCACGACAAACCACTCCATCGTTTCCAATTTAGTTCTCAAGGTAATTATAAAATATCATGTTAAAGTTTCAAAATTAAAACTCCTAATGACATCAAGAAAGTGACACAACAACCAACAAAACAGAAAATATTGGCAAATCATATATGTAGCAAGAAATCTAACTAGAATATATAAAAAAAGAATTTGACAATTTTTAAAATAAGCCAAGTAAAAAAACAAGCAATGGATAGGAATAAACATTTCTCCAACATGTACAAATGACCAATAAGCACATGAAAAGATACTCAACATTATTAGCTATCAGAGAAATACAAATCGGAATTACAGTGAGCTACTGGTGCAACTAAAATTAAAAGCAACACACTCCTTAGGATGGCTACTACAAAAAAAGAAAAAAAAAATCAGAAAGTAATCAATGTTGGTAAGGATGTGAGGAAATTAGAATCCTTGTCTTATTTTTGGCTGGATTATAAAATGGTATAACAGCTACAGAAAACAACATGAAGGTTCCTCAAAAAACTTTAAATACCCTATAATCCAGCAATTACATCTCTGGGTACACATGCAAAAGAACTAAAAGCAAGGTTTTGAGATAGTTATACACACATATTCATAAAAGTGGTATCCAACATATCCAAAAAATAATCACTTCTCGGCCTTTTTGCCAAGATAAAGTACAAAATATAAAAAAATAGAAGTAACCCAAATACACATCAATGAATAAATGGATTAATTCTAATATACAGACACAATGTTATAGTATCTAGCTTAGAAAGTCAGGACATTCTGTCACCTGCTACAACATGGGTAAATCTTAAGGACACTATGCTAAGAAATATAAACCAGTCAGAGACAAGACAATGATTCCAATTATGTGATGTACTTAAAGTACTAAACTACATAGAAAGTGAAGGACAGATAATAAGTCTTGGGAAGATGTGGAGAAATTGGGACCCCCCCACACACACTGCTAGCAAGAAGATAAAATGTTTCAACCATCTTGGATAACAATTTGGCATTTCATTAAAATGTTAAGTAGTTACTATGTGAGCTAGCAGTTCTACTAATACACTAAAATAAATGAAAATACACACTCACCAAAGTGTAACTGAAGTTTATAGCAACATTGTAACAGCCAAAAAATGGAACAATTCAAATGTCCAATGATAAATGAAGAAATAAAATGTGATGTAACCATAAACTGAATTGAACCCAGAGTCTTTGCACTGAACTACATCCCCACCCCTCAACCCTTTGTTATTTTTGAAACAAGGACTTCATAAGTCATTAAATTGCCCAGGTTGAGCTCAAACTTGCAATCCTCCTGCCTCAGCCTCCCAGGGTGCTGGTATTACAGACATGCACCACTACAATCAGCCATTAAAATGGATTATTTATCATTAGAAAAAAATCATGTGCTGACACATGCTACAGCATAAACCTTAAAAATATGGTAAGTAAAAGAAACTAATAATGAATAAGAGATAGTATACTGTATAATTCAATTGTTAAAAATGTTCAAAAAACATAAAACTAGAGACAGAAAATAAGTTAGTGGATTTCTAGGGCTGGCCAGAGGGCTAGGGATTAAGACAGGTAGAATGAGGACTGACTGCTAATGAATACGGGATTCCTTTGCACGTAATGAAAACATTCTAAAATTCAGAGTGTGGTGGGGGCCAGGGATTTAGCTCAGTGACACCAAGCCTGCCTCAGAAGTACAAGGTCCTCAGTTCGATCTCTAGTACCAAACAAAAAGAGAAAAAAAAGTTAAGACTGTGGTGACAGTTATAACAACTTGGTAAATATTGCAAGACAAACAGTAAAGGAAGGAGACATTAGAGAGACTTTCCATGTATCTACTTTATTAAAAAGTTCTTGTTAGTTTTACCTCTTCTCTCAACTTTCTGATAAGTTCTGTGTCATTGTGATGAGTTTTGATGAGTTCAGCTTTGCCACTTGCAACAAGGGATGCACTTTCAATTAGATCAGGCCGTAAAGTACCTTGGGCAAGGAAAACCTCATCTGGTTTCAGATTCATTTCTCCAATTACTTCATTGGCAATCTAAAACCAACAGGAGGAAAACAGCCTTAGACCACATGAATTTATTTAAAGACAGCAAAATTGTATACTTTCAGCTAAATTTTCAGTCTTTTTGTAAGACCAACAAAGAAATTAAATCAACCAATCTTCAAATTTCTTTAGAATATGTGCTTTCACATGATTCAAAAATGTTGCAAACAGTCCCTCCAAGAGTTTGAAATCTACTAACATACCCAATATCAACTGAAAATGGCTATTCTTTTTTTTTTTTTCTTTTTCCTCACAGTACTGGGGAGCAATCCAAGGGCCTTGGGCATAATAGGCAAGTGTTCTACCTAGAAACATCTACAGTCTTCTTAAACATTAAAATAATAGCCCGGCAGCATATATGTTTTTAAAATATAAAACAAGTTCTACAGATCAGTACAAATAATACATCATATATATGTCAGCCACAAAAGAGAGATCCAAAATTAGCCATTTTTTTTACTTGATGTAATGACAAACATACACAACTACTAAGATTCATATCAAAACGCACACTGATATTAAAAAGAAAGGTACCTTCACAAAAGTATCGCCAATGATTTTTCTTTTCTCCTCAGGACTTGTAGTCATATTTAATGTTTTGCTAATTCTTTTTCGTGGGGTTCTGTCTTCATCTGATATTGGTAAAGTAGTTGTCCCATTATAGAAGGAATGAGCAGCATTTATCACTAAGAGATATAGAAGATATGTTTTAACCTAATAGTTTTTAAAAATCTTAGGTAACAAGTTGAATTGAACAGAAAATCTAGATGACTCCTTCTTATTTCCCCTAAGTGTGCCTACAATACTCAAGAACTATTAATATGTCACAAGTGACACATAGGGGACATCATTAAATTTTGCATGTATGAGACTCACTGCATTTAGAGTGATCAAAGGTCATGATATCACAAACTATGCTTGTTTGCTCTCTGTCTGTTTAGTGCTCTACCAGAGCAACAAGCAAAAGCCCTATCCAAGATGCTTAGCCCTAAGGGAGTCAAAAGCAGTGGTTCAGTATGGAGAATCAAAGTCCTTGGAGCAGCCACTGACTAGTGTCTTAAAAAAAACGGTTTATAAATGTATATTTATCAATCCTTATCTGTCCTTTATTTTATGTAAGAGCAAGGAATCAAAAACTAAGATCTCTATTTGGTGCTAAGGCTTAATAAGATGATAAGGCAGCTGGCTGTTTCACTGGGGGTCTACGAATAATCTGTATGCCTTTCCTTTAAACTAGTCAATTACCCAGAGAAGACACAGCCAATCTCTGCCTGTGGGTATTTTGGTACCTGAACAAAGTGGTGAAAGAGACAACCCCATTCAATATATAGGTTTTAACTTAATTCTCTTCCTAATGTAGAATTTTGCCTCCACCTTAAGTATGCCTCGATCGGTCTGACAAAGTCCAAAGGCTCTCCTGTTTGACCTCTCTACAGAATGAGTTATGACAAGAGAAGGACAGCTGTCGTTTGCTTGGATGTTAGCAAAATAATCTGTTGCTTATATTTTCAAATGATTCCTGCTTTAGGGTTACCCAGAGACCCACGATTCAAAAAGGACCCAATGTTTCCAATTTCTGAGCCTCCACAGTAATCTGCAGAATAAATCAGCTGGATTTTTCTTAGCTTCCTTCCCAACTCTTCCCCAAGATTCTAAATTCTTCTATACTATGTCGGTGACCAAGGACAAATCCAGGTTTTGCGGGGGCTGAAACTTTGAAATCCAGTATAGTTGGAAGACCCCCTTCAATAAACAGTGTGAGATATTTAGAAATAAGTTATGCTGAGATGACTAACAAGAAGTTAAGTGTATACAGAAATAATTACAAGTCACATATACACCACTAAACCCAAACTAAATGTTATCTCCAGCTAAACTTTTTCTTAGCCTCATCCCAAAATGCTCACAGCCCATTAAGCAGGAGAATCATCCCAAGTTTAAGGCAAGCCCAGGCTACATGGCAAGACCCCATCTTAAAAATAAAAAAGAACAACAACAAAAAGTAAATAAATAAAAATAAATAAATACTTTTTAAAAATTAAAATGCCCACAGCCACTCCACCCTACCCACGAACATAAATCTGAATGGAAATAGAAAATAGAGTTAATCAACCACAGACTATTAAAATATTTTATTCACAAATTCCACAAAAACATTTGATCATGTAAAGACACTGGTAGGGTCCCTCCCAGGACTTTCTAAGATTAACTAGTCAGGGAAACTTACACTTAAATTCATAGGCTTATCAAAGAAAATCTACCTTAAGTATCTGTTTTCTACCTTCCAACATTTTGTTGAAACCATTTTCGGTCTTCTCTCTTTCTTACCCTTGTATCACTGTACTTGTTTTTCATTCCTTTACTGATATTTCAGTAAAGTTTCAAACAAGAAAGTGGTATATTCACTGCAACCTTACCTACAAGTCTTCACCTTATATTCATTTTTTAGCATCAATTTCAAATAATTCAGTAATATACAAATGGATTTTTTTCCGCAATACTAGGGATTGAACCCAAGGCCTTCACAACAAGCTGTATCTCCAGTCTTTTTTTATTTTTAACTTTAAGACAGGGTCTCCCTAACTTAAGTTTCTCAAGCTGGGCCTGAACTTGCAATCTTCCTGCCTCACCCCCTAAGAGTGCTGGGATTAAAGGCATATACAACCATACCCAGCTTGTTTTTTTTTTTTTTTTTTTTTAAGAAATGGGGCTTGCCACATTGCCCAGGCAACAGAGAGAATGACAAGATGATAGCTTATTAAGTAAACAATAGCTGTCTCAATACTTTTAAAATTTATACTAGGACCTTTATTGCACTAGAGATAATTTTCCAACAATAAAAAATGTCTTTCAACTTTGAGCTTATTAAAAACTACAACTGGTGAAGAAAATGTGCTCATTTAAAACCAGAAAAAAGCTGGGTAAATTAGCTCAGTGGTTTTGCTGCCTGACTTGCAAGCACAAGAGCCACAGTTCGATCCCCAGTACCAACAAAACAAAACAAAACAAAACTATGGCAAATATGCTGTTACCACGAATTGAAATATTACAATGCTAGCAAAATCTTTGGGCTGGGGATTTAGCTCAGTGGTCCCACCACCTGCCTTGGAAGCACAAGGGCCTGAGTTCAATCCCGGTACAAAAAAAAAGTCTATATGCCAATAAAACCGGGAAAAAAAATGCTCATTAAACAATATGGCTTGATTTGATAAAACAAGTTTTGCCATGTAAATTAACTTTTTTGTAGTTCATTAATACCTTTGACCTGAATTCCAAGTTTTTTGAGGGCCTCTTCAACAGACTGGCTTTCGCGTTTTCTCATAAAGCCATTATCAATGTGCACAGCAATGACTTGATCTTGATTCAAAGCACGATTTAGCAGAGCTGTACAAACTGTTGAGTCTACACCACCACTGAGTAAAACCTATGGGTAAAATGAAAAATCAAATTGAGCAAAATAAGCAAAAAGGAAATAAGCACTAAATCTTAGATCACTGTCTAGAAGTTTACATAAAGAATACATATGGTAATTAGGAAAGCACCGTGAAACAATGAAATAAACAAAGCTTATGTTCACTGGTTAACATTAAGATGCTATGTTAAGGAATCTAGCTCTAGGTCCCAATATTACTGACAAAAATTTGTGACCTGCCAGAGGATAAAGTGCTTACCAAAACTTTTGATGTGCCCACTTGCTCTTTGATCTCTCGAATGCATTCAAGTTCTCTGTTCTGCACTGTAAAAGTCCCAGTGCACCCAGCTATATCATAAAGGAAATTCTTCAGTATTACTTTTCCATTTTCTGTAAGGCCAACTTCTGGGTGGAACTGTACTCCATACAATTTTTTAGATTCATTTGCTATACCTTTACAGAGAAAATAATCAAATTTATTCATGTTGAAAAGACTCGACCAATACTCACAATTCTTTCCTCAAAATCTCTCATGAACGTTTAAACTGACATGGTTTAATGAATTTTTTATTACAGGTAAAGAGTACATAACATAAATAATATTACATTGCCCTAATCTTTTTTATAAGGATTTTTCTTTTTATGGCAATTAATGAGCTACATGACAGTGCAAGAAGCCCTACAGAAAGATTATTCCATGGCATTCTTACTTCTCCACTACTACTTTATATTTCTTTCCCATTTAACAAAATAACTCAATTTTGGTTCTCAGCCCTATATGGCTTTTTCCTATAGTGTATAACTGACTCCCTATATTAAAAGATCCTTATATATCAGACTGGTCAGAATATTCTAGGTATTTGTTTCTTGAATACACTTAACTATAAATACAGGCCAAGCATCCCTTACCCAAAATGCCTACAACTAGAAAGCTTGGGATTTTTTTCCACTGACTTTGGAATATCTGCATATACATAATGAGGTATCTTGGGGACGGGATCTAAGTCAGTATTTCATTCATAATTCATACGTAGTTTACACATACAGCCTGAAGGTAATTTTACAGAATATTTTTAGTGTTCCTGTGTTTTGACTACCTCTTGGCATACAAGGGCACGTATGGAATTTGACACTGGTGGTATCAAGTTGGAGCTCAAATAAGGATTTCAAATTTTCAGGCTAGGGATGCTCAATCTATAAAACTTCATCTACTTGACTAATGTATTTCTCAAAATTATCTACCAAACAGCAGATGTTGGACTAGATATCTTACATCTGCATGTATTACACCTATTTTATGGTTTAGATATTAAGAAACTTGTTTGAACTCTTGGCCAATTAAGTAATAAACTTAATGGAATGACAGGCTCCCAAACTCATATTCATTCTACTACACCAAGGTACCTCACATTTTCTTTATTAGGCTTCCAGGATACTACTATCTTAGTTCACTTATTTCATGACTTGCCCCTGCTGACTCTTCCTTGCTGGTTCTTTCTCATGTGGTCCACAGGAAGCAATCCAGTACTTAGCCCTTATATCTCTTCTCTATATATTCTGAGTGATCTCAGATATCAACTCTAACTAACTTTAAAATTCTACCCATGATTCTAAGCCCTCAAATTTATATGTCTAGCCCCATTTTCTCCTTGAAAGACCACACACACACACACACACACACACACACACACACACACACACCTGGGCTACCAGACTTTCTAAGCTATCTTGAATTTAATATGCAAACCCAAACTCCTAAGGTCTTTCCTATTTGGTAAAAAATTTTATTCTCTGGATGCTTAGGCTAAAAAACTCAAGAGTTGTTAAAACTATATTCTACTTCGTTTTCCTGACTCCACACCAAATCCAATAGAAAATTCTTTGTCTCTCCACTCACAGCACCTCGGAATTCAACCGTCCCTGAATACTTACATGTCCACCACTCTAGCCCAGACAATGTGCTCCCTTCTGGTTACCACAACAGACTCTCAGATGGTCTTGTTGCTCCTTCTATTTTTTAGCCTGACTCTTTTCCTCTCGGGTAGCATAATCCTACAGTTAAACCACATCTCTCCTTTATTCAAAACCACACCTATAATCCCAGCATTTGGGAGGCTGAAGCAGGAAGACTGCCTGAAGTTTGAGTTCAGCCTGGGCTACAGTGAGTTCAAGGCCAGCTGAGACTACTTAAAGAGACCCTGTCTCAAAAACCAAAACAAAAATCTCACCTATGAATGAAGTCCAAATTTTACAGGCTCACATATCTTGTGCTTTGGACTCCATCTACCTCTAATTTACTACTCACCTCTACACTTACTTTTTTTTTTTAACATGGGAAGGAATATTTAATGGCTTTGATAGACAACATTCTTCACTGAGCACTGGACACTTATGAGGATATGTAATGCAGAGATGCTGCCTATAAGTTTAAAATCTTGTGAACCAACCTCTTGAGGCCAAACTGTGACACTGTTCATTTCTGTGTTTTTACCGACATCACTGTTAAGTTTAAACGTATGGAGAAAAAATCAGCAACTTTCATGTGTGATATAAATGTACAAAATATATGCCCACATAGAGATTTTCGTGCATATGCTGTCTTTTGTGAACTTTATGTTGACAGAGTACCTGAGAACAGGTGTGCAGCCCCAGACTCACTCTTCTCTAACTGTACAGTCTCCGTGAACTCCTTATACACGGCCCACCCTAAGACTTTTGCTTTACTATTTCCTCTTTCCTCAAATATGCAGAAGAATCAGCATTCATTTTCATCAAGTCCAATGTCATATTACAGGAACACTGTCCCAGGAATATCTTAAACAAACAGTAACATTCCTACTCACACATTCTGTAAATACCTAACCTCCCACACCACCAATTTTTTTTTAATGTGAACATGTGATACTAGAAATATTCAATATTTGCATACTTCTATCCTCCTTACAATGTTAGGGGATTTTGTCTATTTTCTTCATTCCTATGTCCTTGACACCTGGTATTTGTGCCTGACACATGATAGGTACTCAGGTATTCTCGAATGAACAAAAATATTAAGCTTATATATCACTGTGGATTTAAAGCCTTTTCAGTTAAAACAAAACAAAACACTCCCAATTCTTGGGTGGCTGATGCCAGAGGATTACCACAAGTTTGAGGCCAGCCTTGGTTACAGAGTTCAAAGCCAGCGTTAAGTACACAGCGAGACCTTGTCAAAAACTTTTGAAAAGACTCATCATTTCTATGTTCATGTATTAAGTCTTTTAAGTAACTGCAAGCAGATTACTCAACTCAGTTTATCCACAACAAATTATTCTTCCAACGTTTTAGGTTTGGCATCTCAAAGTCTTATAGCTAAGCCTACTTTTTTTCTTTGAATGATTTTCAGTGCTATTAACAATTATTTATATTATAGTTGTTCAGGTAAGCAAGTCCAAATCCCAAACTGCCAGAAAAATCAATTTTTCTTCAACAAAAAAGTAGAAAATGAAAATGATCTCTGCAAAGGGCTAGACAGTAAATATTTTAGGTCTTGTGAGATACAGTCAACTGAGTTTTTGTTGCTGTTGCTTTTGTCTTGTAAGACAGGGTCTTGCTATGCAGTTCAGGCTGTCCTCAAACTCACAATGCAGATTAGTCTAGCCTCAAGCTCACAAATTCTCATGCCTCAGCCCCCTGAGTGCTGGGGTTATAGGCATGCCCCACCATACCCAGCCCTGTGTTTTATTATAGCCCTTTAATAATATAAAAACCATTCTTAGTTCCCGAGCAAGAAAAAACAGGCCATAGGCTAGACTGGACACACAGGTCAAAACTTGTCAACTCTGGTTCAGAAAATTATCCTTTAATCCTTAGTATGGTATTTTGCAGATATCCAAGTCCAATAAAAAGCATGAAAAAACAAGCACAACAGAAAGATAAACATCTCAAATTTTTCCTCAGTTATAAAACTATAGCATTTTACATTTGCAAAGAATATACGAGAAGCATTTTTTTGTGTGTGACATTGGGGATTGAACCAAGAACTTTCAAAATGAGCTACACAGCTAGTTTCTTTCCTTTCCCCCTTGTTTCTCATTTTGAGACAAGGTCTCACTATGTCACTGAGTTACTGAGACTGGATTTGACCTTGCAGTCCTCCTCTATCAGCCTCCCAGAGTGCTAGGGTTGCAGGGATATACCACTGCAACCAAATAGAATAAACATTTATTTTTTTCTGGAACTCAGGACCTGTGAGGCAGGCACAGTGCCACTTAGCTGAATCCCTGTGGATTTCTGTGATGAACATCTTAAAATGTATTTTAAGCAAACCAATATGTGACTTCCAGGTAATTATTCTAATACTGAATTCCTTTAACAATTGATCCCACTGAATTTATAGTGTTTTTAAAAATAAGATAAAGAGTATTTCATACAGAAACACATAATTTTCACCTGCTACAATGTTCCCAGAACGTGCCACAACCTTGAATCCATCAGCTACTTTGTCTACGCTATCTCCATGAGTAAGCAAAACAATTTCTTCCTTCTGAAGGCCCCTGAACATACAAAAAACAAAAATCACACACAAGAATACCGTAACAATTCATGACTTTAGCTTTTAAATTTTTAATCCAAGTTGGAACACACTACTGATTAAGTCAATGGAGTCTAAGAATTATTAATAAACAAAACTATAAGCTAGAAATAGCAGAGTTAAAAAAGGTAACAAAAAAAGATTAAAAAAAAGTGAAAAATAAACTTTTAGCACTATACGATGAAAAAGAAAACCAAAAAGAGTAACAAATATTTCATGCAGCCACTAATTAATAGCCTGCATCTTATAGACTTATAGTTAAAGGGGAATGTGGTTTTTAAAATAAAATTGAAATTTAGTTTAAGGAAATTATGTAAGTGTACCAAGACTTCACCATATGAGCTTTACACAAAGAACAAAAACCTCCCCAAAAATAAAGTGACCTTTTAAAATTTAAGTTTCCTGTCTTCTCAAAAAACATAATGAAAATTAATAAATTTTTACTCAAGTCAGTCAATAATTCAAGGAAGCCTGAACCACAGCTGATTCATTCATTTTATTTCTTTTTCCATGTTTTTCTTTTCTTTTTTATGTGGTAGGGAGGGCATGCATGACTGCCCCAGTGGGGGCTTGTACTACTTCTCAGAGAGTCTTTCATTACAATAATGCAAAGAAAGACATTGATTTAGCAGACCAGATACCATCATACTACATTTTCTTAAGGAAAACAATGAAACAATATTAAAAAATTACAGCTAATTTGTGGTACAGCAATTGTAAATGGATATAACATATGCCAGCAATGAAGTACTGATAAGATTTCCATGTTAAAATTTAGAGATTAATAAAGTATTTACAAATGTAAGTTTAATAAAAAACAAAATTGCTAATTATTACAATAATTTAAATTGGTATACTATTAATATTCATATTTCAAAAGTAATCATTCAAAATCAAAGCAACTAACAAGATTCAGTACATTTACATACTTTTTTATTAATTTTATTTGTAAAAGACAAGTGATTAGAACCACTTTTGTACCAAGATACTCAGTGAGACAGTCATGCATGTACCACAGTAGTTCAGATGGCAGGAAGATGTTAGAAAGACTGAAGACCAAACTACAGTTCCACCACAATTCAGAGGTAAGGAGAAAGGAAAATAAAAACTATTTAGGAATGAATCTAGCAAGTGGATGGCTTAGTAAGTGCTCAAAAGAAACCTAATGAAGGAGAAATGCACGTGCGTATAGTCAAATGCAGGATAGTTTAAATCTTTATTGATGTGCCACATTTGGCATAGTAATATATAAAATCACTCCAAGAGTGAAAAGGGAAATCACAGATGTCGGCATCACGAGACACAGGGTTCCCAGACTACACAGGTCTCCCCAAGTCATTTCCTGAGTGCCTTTCTTATTCCGAATTAGCTTAACACATCATTCTTCACTGTGCAGACATACAAATGGAAGGCAAATGTGGCAAATACACCTGCACGGTTACTACTGATCCTTCATTTTATAAACTACTAAACCTCTAATTTTGAAAACTAACAGCAATGACTTTAAACTCATTTATCTACTACCATTCTTAGTATTCCAAGGACATACCTGAATAATGAACACGTATTATCCACACTGACGTTGAAGACCCCGTCTTCTCTAACACTTTTTTTGTGCACAGTACCTCCAAATACCTTATTCATCATCTGCTCAAAGAGAAAACAAATATGAATCAAAAGAAAAATCTTCATTTTCTTATGATGGTTTTTATCGTTTAGACTTCCTGTTTTCAAAATGTTATATTTGTACCCAAAAAATAAAGGGAGTTTGATAAATATAGATAACTTTGTATATGTATAGATATAAATCTATATCTATATCTTTATCTATCTATATATATATATAGAGAGAGAGAGAGAAAGAGTTATTAACAGACACGATTATAAAACAAAATTGAATTAGAAATTTGACCTAAAGTTAACTTCTGTTAAACACTGGCATATTTTTCTATTCCATGTGCTTTAGTTCATCTGTTACAAATACAAATTTTATTCTTAAATAAGAGTTTAATTTTTAAGCATTTAAAAAGATACTCTGAGCTTAGCAAAAAGCCAGCACAGAACCAACACAGGAATTCAGACAAATATAAATTCCTCCAAGCTATTTAATCTTTGGCCCCACAGGAGCAGGCTAAACAACTCCAAGAAGAATGTGGTGAAGAGACAGGATAAGTGAGAAAATCCAGCCTTTTAATTAAGCTCATCTGTTCAAATCCCATATGCCTATACTCTTATTTTAAATGGTCTCTTCATTCTAACCCTGCTGGTGTCATTCTTATTATTATTTGTATATGCCCCCAAAATCCACCCACAGCCGGTAATATACACAGAAGAGTTTTAAAAACATTAAATCTAGGACTGGGGATTTAGCTCAGAGGTTTGGTGGTCTGCCTTGCAAGCGCAAGGACAAATTCAATCCCTGGTACCAAAAAAGAAAAAAAAAAAAAATTAAGTCTGATATAATCAGTCCAACTCAGCTTATATGTCTGTTCCACAATAGAAGTCACGTCTGCCATAACAAAGTATGATGGGAGGTGACCCAGCCCCCAACAGAAAAGCAAACAGAGGGCTAAATAACTATTCTTTGAATTCATGGTAGCATACGCCAGGCACGGTGACACATGCCTGTAATCCCAGCACCTAGGTTGTTGAAGCAGGAGGACTGCCACCAGCTTTGGGTACACAGTGAGTTCAAAACCAGCCTGGACTAGGGTCAGGGATTTAGCTCAGTGGTGCCATGCCTGCCTCATAAGCACAAGGTCCTCAGTTTGATCTCTGGTACCAGAAAAATACATACATACATACACACATACATACATTTAAAAAAAAAAAACCCAGCCTGAACTATACAGTAAGACTCTGTCTCAAAGAAACAAATTAGCAAATGCTGTCATCTCATTTTCTTTTTAGGCATTCATACTAAACCTTCCCACAATAAAGGTTTGTAGTTAAACAACTTGCTAACTTTTAAGCCAGTATTTTTCGAACTAAAACTCAGACATAAAATGTCTTGTATGGTACATTAACAAACACAAAACCTAGGAAACAGTCTTTCAATCTATCAGTTCCCTGGCCTCTAGTATTGTCCATCTTCCTAGAGATCTACTATTGATAGCTACTAAAACGTGAATATGACTGTGTTAGCCCATAACTAAATTCTTCAGTGGCTCTCCAGCAACTAGAGTAGGGATTGGCAAAAGCCAGAGTAAATATTTAGCCTCTGAAGCCTTTGCTGCATCTATTCCAACTATTCAACTTTTGTCATTGTAGCCCAAAAGTATCCACAGACAATACTTAAAGGAGACATATGGATGCATTCAAATAAAACTTAAATTTATGGACATGGAACTTCAATTTTCACATGTCACAAAATAGAACTTGTTTTCAATTTTCCCAAAATAAAAACCATTCTTTACTTGAAGGTGTGCAAAAAACAGGTAGGGGGCCATATGTGACCAGTTTGTTGACTCCTGATCTACAAGATAAAGTCCAAGTACCTATATCAAAAATTCTCATTACATAGCCCTTACCTAATTTTTGTTGTACCCTTCATCTTCTCCCACATTCTCTAGTCCAGACATTCAAACTGGTATGACTGTCAAAAATAGACCATGTTCTATCACACGCTTTCTCCCAAGTATTCAGGTATCTTCACAGCTCCAGGGGCTTAGCAAAATGTATGATCCAGAGCAGTCATTCGTTTTTGCTAAATGAAAAATGAATGTTTTCTTCTTTATCCTTAATGAACCTCATATATTTCTACCTCACATAATGTTCAATTCATAACTTCAATACAGCTGATAGATCAATATAACTGAAACTGTTAGAACTTTACACAATTTGAGTCTTGAAAGTCTAAAAAAACGATCCTTCAAAGTAAATTTTATAGATATACCTGCATGCCATAGCAAATCCCAAGGATAGGCTTGCCAATAGTGAATATTGCTGGATCAAACCAGGGAGCATCTTCTGCATACACAGAATTAGGTCCTCCAGAGATGATAATCGCACTGTGGATTTAAGTAAGAAATTCAGTTTAAAAAAAAAACCAACAAACAACCCTAACTGCAAGTCTAGGAAATGGGGAGAAGACGTTTGCTGGGGATTAAACCCAGAGCCTTGTGCATGCCAGTCAAGCTCTACCACTAAGCTACAGCCCCTGCCCTCTGACAATGTTTTAATGTCTTCAAGAATGTCATCAGGAGCTAGGAAAGAGAGCAAACATCAACTTTGTACCATACTGTTGGCTCTCAGAACTCACACCAATATCGTAATTTAGCTACATTACAATTGCAGAGGATTCTACGGGTTAACTCAGGGGAGAAGCTACTAAAGAGACATACAAACTGAGGCCTACATTCCTCAACTAGCCACTGATACACCTTATTCAACCCTCACCATTAACTCAAAAAATTAAACATTTTAATAGCAGGAATATCACATGAAAATTCCTGTTTGTGGATTTTCTTTAGGAAAAATACTCCTGGCATGGCTAGAAATATAGCTAGACTCATAGAGAGGCATGCCCTTTCTTGCACCCCTTCAGACTGCAGATGTTCTCGTTTGCTACCTATGCCAACTCACAATGAAGGCATACTTACCTTTATGACTCAGTTTAAGGTACCCCATCCTCATTTTAAGTTTCAGTTTTCAGATAAACCTAATTTACCTAATTTCAAAGAAAAATGAATTATAAGATCTAACCAAAACCTACCTAAAAATAAATTCAGATTAAATTTATTTTTATTTATTTGCCATGCAAAAATCATACAAAGTTATACTGCTAGGCTACAATACACCCCAAATAGTAGCAAAAAGACAAATTTATAAAAACAACTCTTAGGCAAGGCAGGGCACTATAAAATATATAATAATTTTACTAAAAATTAAAAAAGAATCTCAGTAAGCTCAAAAGCACCCTTTGAACTTTATAGTGATAACATGAAATATTCATTTCATATTCTATCTCCTACAAAAGAGAGTTGGAAGTCCACCTACTCAGATTAGCAGATGTGGTATCTTTGAGATTACAATTCTAAAGAGTACAGGGGTCCCCATAGATATGTAACCTAGCTCCTTAAAATAACAGAATTTACAATTCTATTAAACATACTAAGTAATCAAGACCTCTTAAAATCTCATTACATTGCACCATGTTTCATCTTATAAAGGATAACCACCATGGGACTGCTCAGCATCCCTCATTAACCTACTAAACAACATAAGGAAGTTAAGACTCCTAGCATTATTAAAAATATATGTGATCGACTCAGTCAAGGATTAAACTCAAAGAGTACTTAAACCAATTATGAAAAGTCTTTTATCTCACTGTCTTGGGAACAGTTAATCTTGAGTTAATCAGTCTTCCTAAGGCTTCTATTTCTACCCTGCTATTCTGAAACTAGTAATTAATTACAAGGCCCAACAAGCCCAAGTCATTCCAAATAATAATCACCAAGGTTCTACACACACACACACACACACACACACACTTTTTCCTTTTGTAGTACAGGGGATTGAACCTATAGTGATGGTAAACCTTTTAGCTTTCAATGATAACAGCCATCTGAGGCAGGTGTGCCACAGATTGATCACCTATGACCTAGGAGCTCACACATGCTAGGCAACATCTAGGTTCTAAAAACAAGTAAGTTAAAATGTCTCTTAAGTACATGCCTATCATCCCAGCACTCAGGAGGCTGAGAGAAGAGGATTGCTCCAAGTTTCAGGCCAGCCTGTAAGCTACATAATGAATCTAAGGCCAGCCTGAACTACACAGTGAGGACCCTGTATCAAAAAACTACCAAGTCTGTCTCTCATGTCACAAAACTAACATTTATTGAAGAAAAAAAATGTAGTCAGATATTTTGGCAGAAAGGATTAGAGTACTACAGAGGCCAGAGTGCTATAATGCTCATTACCACAGAAAACTCTAGGCACAAGTACTGTATCCAATTACTGTATTTTAAAACATCTAGTTCAGATTAGTTTGATGGGTAAAAAAATCTTTTGTTGTTTTAGGTGAGGGGAATGTTAAGAGCTTGGATTTGACACACAGCCATTCAGATTTGAGTTTTTTGATCTAAAACTAGCTCTTGGTGGTAAATCATGACAGCCAAATTAGATAAACTCAAGAGTCCTTTCTTAATCTAAAATTCTACACTAAAAGAGTAAACTGTTCTGAATTTTATCCTCTGACAAGAACAGGGTTAAATTTAAAACTGCCTCTTTTTTTTTAACTTTATTTCCAATTCACTCTATCTTAGAAACCAAGAAATAACACAGTAATGTACAAATGTTTGTGAAGTCTTTTAGCAGTCTTTTAACTATTTTGTCTTTGGAAAAATGTTATTTAAGAATTCTGCCTGAGGCCAAGAATGTAGCTCAGTGGCACAGATCTGCCTGGCAGACACAAGGTCCTGAATTTGATCCATATTACAGGAAAAAAAAAATCTGCCTAATAAATTCCTTTATGCCTCTTTAAAAAGAATCTGAGAATACAGCATACAAAATTCCAAGGTTTAAGAACCAATTTAGGACATAAACTACAGCTGCTTGCCTTCTAAATGACACTTTCTTTGCAGAGAACATAAATAACTCCATGAGAAAAGGCATGGCACTAACCAGAAATGTTGCTGAAAAAAGAAGCATAAACTGGCTGTTGTTCTGACTATCCTAAGTGTATAAGATGTTTCAATTTGCCCTTACATTAAGCTTAAAATAATTTTTATACATTTTTTGGGGGGAGTACCAGGGATCAAAATTTTAAAACTAGTCTCTTGGGATAGGAAGCAAAATAGACTTACTGTACACATAATTCTTCTCTTGGGTAGGCTACCCAACTTTCTGTGTATCTTTCTTTGACTAAATGCTGTACGATAAATGACTAAAATCACCACAATAGCTAAATGTAATTTGGACCCAGAAATCCTATAAAACATAAAAGTTAAATTAAGGTTTTAACTACACAATTAAAATTAATGTAATCTTTTTTACTGAAAGTATAAATGTTTCTTTTGCTTTTACACAAACAAGCCATGAAAAATTTCTTACAAAATCATTAAGTATTTTGTTTTCTCAAAAAAAAAAAAGAGATATAGCTCTAGTGGTAAAGCACTTGCTCAGCATGCACAAGGCTCTAGGTTAGACCCACCACCCTACACAAAACACTTCACACAGTGTCCAAGCAAATTAATAATAAATATTCGACAAACTAAAGTCAATCTTCCCATTAAAAACTTAGTGAAAATTTTACCAGAATCCTTGTTCTTTTATGGCAAATGCTGGTGTTTCCAGGGGGAAGATTTCAGATTGCACAAATAGTTCCCTCACTCTTCGGTCTATGACTTTCCCATACTGAGCACCAGCATCCAAAATGACAACAGCTTCTTCATAGTGTTGGCGGCCATCCTTAAGGTCTCCTCCAGCATTCTCCAGCTACAAATATCAATACAAACACAAATTCTTAATTGTAAAAATTAGGACTGTTTAAAAAAATAGGGGACACTGTCAGCTTCTAAGAGGAAGATTTAGTATATAATCCCTACAAGAGCATTCATAAGCACTGAAATTTAGTGACACGGACCATTTACTGACTGTGATATAGTCACTGCATGTATATGCACCTTATACAAGCTCTAGTGCCAGGATGAGCAGTCAGTTCCATGCTGCTGATAATTTTGATTTGTTACTGTTACACTGTACTAGCATTATTAATTATGCCTCTTTTAAATCTCAACATGTCACAGTTGGACAATAGATTATACAGTCACAGCATTCCTAAAATGTATATACTGATAAGGAAACTAAAGTTTGTTGCTAGAGTATAAGTGTAGCCAAATTCATTTTGTTAGATTTTTTTTTCCAGAGAAAAATGAAATAAGATACACATCTAACCCTTAACATTAAGATTTTTTAAAACAGATTTTAAAAACCATCTCTGTGGTTAAAAACACTTTCTGGAAAGGAATCTGGTAAAATTAAAATTGTTAACTATGTACACTAAAATATTTACCTCATACAAGATCCCAGTGATGAATGTAACTGTACTATTTACCTTAAATGTACCAATAAAGTTAATGGAAAAATTATTATTTCCATTTTATGCAGGAAAAAGATTTACCTGCAACTGACCTCAAGATAATGCAAAAGCAGGTGGGTTTGATGAAACAATATGCCCATATACTGAAGTCAACTGAAGGTGGGTAATGGCTCATTAAGTTCTCTGTATCAGTCTAAATTTTGCATTTGGAAAAACTTTAAAAAGGTGTCTGTACCCTAAAAATCCACTCAGAGGATTCATTTAAAATATGATGCCATTTTAACACATTTTTTGAAAGTCTGAGACTGTGTGCACTTATGAAAAATTATGGGTGAATATACACTAAAAATATTACCAGAGGCTTTATGTGAGTGCTAGAATGAGAGGCAAATTTTGGTTTTTTTTTTTTTTTTTTGCTTTTTGACCCAGGGTCTCATTATGTAGTTCAGGCTGGCTTGAACTATATCGCACAGGCTGGCCTTGAACTCACAGCAATTCTCCTGCCTCAACCTCCTAAGTGGTGGGATTAAAACTGTGTATCACCATGCCCAGCAAGACAATTTTAAATTCCTTTATAGTCTTCAAAATGTTATAGATGTTTATAACAGATGTATTTAGGGAGGCATTTTTCCCTCCAGTTGTAAAATCTGCATTTTTAAAAATTTGCTTTATTTGTAGGAAAATAGATTGATCTTGAAATCATAATGCTATATGAAAAAATGAGACACAGAAGGTTAAATATCACATGGTTAGAAACCCAAAATATAAATAATTTAATGAGTAAAATAGAAGAAAGCTGATAAGAGGGCTGGGGTTTATTTAGCTCAGTAGCACCATGCCTGCCCCACAAGACAAGGTCCTGAATTTGATCCTTGGTACAGTCAAAATAGAAAAAGAAAGCTGATAGAAAACAGGGAGGCAGAATGTGGAGATGGGTAGGAGACATGGGGATTGGGAGGAGAGGGAAGGGCCAGGAGGGGAAGTGGAAGTAATATTCATATGATTTGATAAGTACATTTACCAACTCCTCAAGATGAATATAGGTATTATGTATCAAATATGTATCAATAAAAAACTACAGTATTTTTTAAAATGCCAATCCATTTGCCACTTGCATGTTCCTTACTACTCCTCTTTCCCTCTTTTCATTAATCTGGGAAAAATTAACACATATCTTACCTACAACAACACTATCCCTTCTGCTACAATAATAAAGAAATGGTAACAACTGTCCACAGAGAAGGATCTGTGAGAAAGACCATAGCTAGAAAGAATTAATCAGTTCCCTAAAACAAAGGGGTGAGGAGTCACATGAATATTTAACAATGTAGAAAAATAAGATTACTAGACAGGTGTAGTGGTGTATACTCTGGGAGACTGGGGCAGGAGGATGGAAAGGTTGAGCCCCAAGTTCCTGTCTCAAAATAAGTAACTTCTTAAAGGGGATGGGGGAGTGTCAGGGGGCACTGATAGGGATATAGCTCACATGAAGGTCTTGGGTTCTAGCTCCAGTATCACTGGGGGTGGCACAGAAAAAAGTTCTAACTTACTTTCAGACCTTTATTTTTAGTATGTACACACACACACACACACACACACACACACACACACTTTAACAAATTTCTCCAAAATTTCTTAGTTGTTGTTTTGTTCTGTTTTTTGAGACAGAGTCCACTATGTAGCTGAGACTGACCTGGAACTCACTATGTAGCTCAGGCTGGTCTCGAACTCATAGCAATCCTCCTGCCTCCGCTTCCTGAGTGCTGAGATTACAGGCGTGCGCCACCACACCCGGCTCTTAGTTGTTTTTTAAGTCAGAGTATTTTTACCAGACTGTGTGTTACTGTATAAATTTCTCAGGCTCAGTCCCATTAACATCTTCACAATTTTTCAAGAGCTAAATATAACTTGGCAGAGTTCCTGTTTTGTATGCTTTTCATATACGCAAATTTGTCACCATAGTTTATGACAAGGTTTTAGTTAACTAACCCATGGAGCATGATGCAAATCCTGTCATAAAGGTGCATATTTCTATTGATGAATTGATTTTAATTTTATGAGTTTTATTATACAGTGAGTACTAAAAAGGAAAAAAAAATCACAAAAATGCTGAATTTCTAATATTTGAGTGTTTATTAAAAGCACCACAATTTTCAACATCAACTGTTTTTTGGTGTACGGTCTAAAAAAGAACAATATAAATTTTTCTATGAAGTAGAATGAAAATAAAAATAACACATTACAAAAAAAATATTCTTTACTTCAATTTTCACAGTCTGCACACATGACACAACACATTCCATACATGTGCATCACTTACACTGACAGCACATATGTTCTACTTTCTTGGCCTTTTTGTAGGATCTTGCCATTCTGTCAGGAGTTTCTGATATTAATACAGAATGCAATCAACATAAGCACAAAATATCAATAAAATAAAGCATTAAATTCTTAGTATGTATTGTGTTTAGAATAGACATTAACATTTTCACATTAGCTGTGTACCTGTTTACAAAACCTAAAAGATAACAGCAGAAATAAAGTCCTATATGATCAATGAAAATATCAATAGAACTCTAAAACAAAAATAAGCTTTGTTTCAATTGTCACACTCAAGGCAGTCTTGACACATGACAACTCCATGTTCCATGTACACATCTTGCTTACACTACTGATAACATATGTGCTTAGATTTCCTTTCCTATGTGGCAGTCTTGTCCGTTCTTTTACTGTTTTGTCAGGAGCTTCCTACTATGTTGTACAACATGTACTTGGCAAGGAAATAAGAAACCAATAAAATAGAATATCAAATATGTAATGAGTGCTTAGACTAGACATCAACATTTTCACATCAGCTATTTACTTGCTTAAAAAACCCAAGAGATAATATCAGAAATAAAAACCTATGTGAACTACAATGTAAACACAAACAAAAGTCTACCACAGAAATAATCTTGTTTCAACTCTCACAGCCAAACTGTCACACATGAAAACGGCATGTTCCATACAAAAGTATGGCTTACACTGATATCACATATATTTTATTTTCCTGTCCTTTCTTGTAGGGCACAATTGACATCTTTTTGGTTTTCCTGCTGTCATAATAGGTCTTTGTGATTCCATGCCTGCCTGTTCAGCTGTCAGCTCACCAGTGTGCTCCACAATTTTTTTGCCTAGTTCCCTGGGCAGAAACATTTTGGTTTTTCCTCTGCTGTAAATGATCTGAGTTCCAGTCCTGATTCTCTAAGAAAATTTCTCCCTGATATTTTGCACTTGCTATTTTCTTTGTGAACTATCAAACTATCCCAAATGTTTTAGTTAAACACAACCATCGGTCAATGCTTTGTGTTTCGAGTTACATCACAGATGCTGTACAACTAATCAAACAATATCTACTCTATCTTTGGTTTTGCTGTAGAAAGTTTCCATCTCAGGCTTCCATTTGGTCAAGGTTTCCCATCAATATTTCCATCATGGTTTAATGTTGACATCAGTAGTACCAGTCTTTGCCATATATGAGGTCAATGTAAATCATTCTGAAATCCAAAGATTGTACTATACAATTCTGTTTTGAAATTGTAACATTTCATTTGGAATTTCTGCTTTATTCCTGCACACAGTTTCTGTACTTGTCAACTTGTGATCTGTTAGCAAATGTAACATCAACTGGAAACTGGTAAAGCAATTGTCAAATGTTATATTCCGATTAGCTTGAGAGATGGGAGCAACAAGTCTGTTCACAACATCATTCAGTTTATTACTATACAGATAAAGACCTGATGTTGAGTTCCAGGATAAGTGTATAAACTGACAGCATAAGTCTTTCTACAAAGGCATAAATTTTAATGCCATATTTTGGCATATCACTTTTCTAAAAGTCTTTTACATTCCTACAATTACTATGAGAAATACCTAAGTACAACAGACCTATGAATGGTTTCAGATCAGCTTATGAGGTGTTATAATAAATAAGTTTTAATACAGTCATTGGTACATATATAACATTTTATTTGCATTTCAGCTTTTGTGTACTTCATCTTGTAGCATTTCATTTGTTACCTTTCCCACACTGAATGGAAGTACCGGCATTATCTGATACTTTTTTTTTCTTTTTATCGATACATTTTTTATCCTTACCAAAATCCTCACTGTATTTTTGGACCTAGTTCTAACATTGGATCATTCCATTTGGTTGTACAGACATTTTGCAACATTTCAGCTAGTCAAATAAGTACTCATATTGCTCTTTTCTTCATCATCTGAATCAAGGAGGCTTGCATTCCCTGCATATTCATCAGTCAATTATTGCTCCATTTCACTGTTATAGGAACTTTGGCTCACATGGTCAATCTCAAAGTCATCATTGTCACCATCATCATCATCATCATCCATTCAC